ATCATGCAATATGGCCTCATCTCACTGGGATTCAAGGACAGATGTGTCTTCCATCTCCCCACACCAGATGAAATCAATAACCGTGTCTGCACTTCGGAAAATAAATGCAATGAGGTTTTTTTTTGGGGGGGGCAGATACTCAAGGTAATTAAGAGAAGTGTGTGTGGGCTATGGGCTGTGGGCTGGAGGAAAAGAAGACACAATTAATCAACCTTGAGGGAATTAGCTCTCTTCCTGCATTGCCTCTGATCCTATAAATAACATTACATCATGATGATAAGGCATGCTGTTCACACACAAGGCACAGGCTGCCCTTCAACAAAGGGTTCTGATAATGGGTGCACATGCATTTGGAGTGTGGTCCCTCTGCCCTGGCCCCTGCTCCCACAGCCTCCTCAGGTCTCCTCTTCTTGCTCCCTGATGAATGACTCACCACAGGGGTCAGCACCCACTTTCCAGTCCCTGCACCGTCGTGAGTGAGGTCGAACAGCAGCAGCAGCACAGCCTGCCGTCTCTGGGAGACACCGGGGTACAATGTCACTCGCAGGAGTACAGAGCGGCAGGACCGCAGCCGGCTTCAAAGGTCCCTCAACCCCTAGTCTCCCTCCTTTGCTGGGAGAAAGCACTCTGACCACAGCGGCTTGGGGAGGGCAGGGTTAGTTGGCTTACGCTTCCAGACCACAGTCCATCAGTGAGGGAAGTCAGGAACCGGAAACTCAAACAGGAACAGGAAGCACAGCCATGGCTCACTCACAGGCCATGCTTAGCCTTACCATAGAGCCCAGGATCACCTTGGGGGAGGGGGGTTGGCACCACTCACGGTGGGCGGGGCCTTCCCACGTCAATCAACAATCAAGGCACCCCTCCCCCCCACACGCACACACAGATATGGTGGACACAGGCCAATCTGATCTTGGCAGCTCCTCCATGGAGGCTTTCCTTCCTAGCAAGCTGACACTGCAGCTAGCTAGACAGGACATGCCCCTAGTGGACGACACCTGCAATAACAGGTCAACAAAAGGGGCAGAAACAGCGGGATCATACCAGGTGGTCAGTGTAGGAGGAAATCCTTCTACCTCACCCTCCAGGAAGGACTGGGCACCAGGTGCCATGAAGTAAAGGTCAGCGATCAAAGGCGTCCCCGCAGACAGCACGGAGGGAGGGATGTCCCCCACTGTGCCTTGCTCAGCGGGAAGGAGCTCTGGCAGGGAATTCAAAAGGCAGCAGGCCAGGCAGGCCACTGCCTCTTACAAGAAACCAACCAACAGGCTGATCTCCACACTGCCCGGACAACTGTACAGAGAAGGTTCCAGAAGCAGGGCCACATCTGTGCGTTTAGCTTATCATTTCAAATATTCATTCGTGCGTGCGTGCGTGCGTGAGTGCGTGTGTGTACATGCAGTGCAGCTGTCTGTGAAGGCCAGGTAAGGACACAGAATCTCCTGGAGTTGGCGTTACCAAGGGGTGTGAGCTCCCTGATGTGGGTGTGAGAACTGGACTCCAGTCCTCACAAACGCAGCCAGCGCTCTTACCGACCGACTGAGGCATCTCTCTAGCTATCAGGCCATTTCAAATGGCAGCAGGCACCATCTCCCCTGAAACATGGGCTGCTTGAATCGATTCCTGACGGCCAGGAGCAGCCTGAACATCTGAGGCTCACTGACAGCTGGGGCTCAGACAATCCAGAGAGACCAACACTCTGTTTACATGTAGGTCTCTGTGTACGTGCACAGGACATATATGTATATGACACACACATGACAGACACGAAAGATAAAGTCCATGGGGCTGGGAGATGGCTCAGCACTGGCGGCTCTTCCAGAGGACCTGGATTCCTAGCTCCCACGTGGCTGCTCACAACCATCTGTAACTCCAGTTCCAGGGGTTCTGAGGCCCTCTTCTGGCCTCCTGGGGCACTGCATGCATGTGATGCTCACACATACGCAAAACACGCATACACATAAAATAAAAATGAATACATCTGAAAAAAGAGACAAAGCACATTTAAGCTTCTTCCATATGGCTGTTGGGTCCTGGAAGTAAGCACCGTGGGTGCTGGAGGGCTGTAGTGAAGGGCCCCTCAGGCACAGACTGTGGGGGTTCTCCTGTGCACTCATCCTGGGTCTCCCGGTCACAAGCACAGAGCTTCACTTAAATGCATTTGCATTCTGTCTCATTAGCATTTATTTAATTCAGTTCCTTACTATCACATCTCTGAAGTAAAAACAGAACTCTGAAGAAACGAAACTCTTCAGCAGAACATCAAAATCCCAACACACACTGTGTCCATGGGTTCTGCAGTGTGGGTCCCTACCGCAGATCCAAACTCAGATCCACAGATTTTAAACTGCACCTGCACACACTTGTTTCCTTATACAATACAGGAAAACAACCATTTAGTTAGCATTTGCACTGTACTGTACCGCATGGTATAATGTAGACACTAGAAATTCAAGTGTTTGGAGAAAGTGTCAACACACGCAAACCCTCTGCCATTTTATAGGAAGGACTGGAGCACTCACTGACTTTGCCTCTGCAGGGGACCCTGGGAAAGGCCTCCCGGGGACACGGAAGGATCCTGAGAAGGCAGTCACCTTTTATCTCCTTCACACACAGGTTTGCAAGAAAGGAGGAAGCATGTGACCAGCAGCTCCTCTTGATCAACTCCTCTTCATGGTTTAACTGATCTGCGCAGCAGGCCAACCCTGGACTAGCCCAGGACTTCCACTACAACACTAAACACAGCCTCCCCCCAATCCCCCACCCCATGCTCCCCCCAGGAGATAGTCACAAGTGTGAGCAAGAGTTCAGGAGATGCTTTCAAAACAAGAGTCCATGAAATGTTGTGCTTATTACAACATAGACTGTCCCTAATACTTTAAAAGTAACCAGGGGCTGAGCTGGCCCAGAGGCTGAAAGCACACACGCTGCTATTGGAGGACAGGAGCTCAGCCCCACCCACGGCCCAGCGGCCCAGCACCACCCCAACTGCCGCTCCAGGGGGACCTCAGCCTGCAGCTTCCACAGGGGCTCACACTCATGCACAAAATTAAAAATATTAAACTGAATCTAAAAAATAATCAAGGCAAATTCTCATTGTATCTTAACAGTCTTAATACTACCACGGGTCTAACTGAAGGAAACTAACGGTAAATTTAAAGCTGTATCTAGGGTGGGAGTTGACTCAGGAGATAAATCTGTGGCTTTCTACAGCTGAGGGACAGAGCCCGGACGTCCAGGGCACACGTAAGAGCCAGTGCTGGCGTGTTGGCCTGCCTGTAATCTCAGATCACTGTTTCACATTTGGGCATATCTGCATAAATGTACAAAGGGTAGATATTGGAGGACAAGACCCACATGTAGATACAAAGCTTATTTCTGTTTCACATGCACCATAACTGTGTTCAGTGACTAATGGTACCGATAATTAAGAAGTTTATGATTTATGTATTTTCAATCTTATTTTTCCCTGTACAAACCAAAGGGAACAGAAGAACAGTAGTAACCAGACATCTCTGCCTACAAGCAGGTTCCAGTCCCCGAGTTTGAAAGAAAAGAACACTAGCAAACAGTACCAAATGCACAAGAGTCGGATCACTGTCTTAGTTACTTTTCGATTCAGAGACAAAACACCAAGACCATGGGCTGGAGAGATGGCTCAGAGGTTAAGAACACTGGTTGTTCTTCCAGAGGTTCTGAGTTCAATTCCCAGCAACCACATGGTGGCTCACAGCCATTTGTAATGAGATCTGGCGCCCTCTTCTGACCTGCAGGCATACATGTAGGCAGAACACTGTACACATAATAAAAAATTAAATCTTAAAAACAAAAACACCAAGACAACGCCAACCTACAAGAGACAGCACTTAACTGAGCTTACGGGTTCAGAGTGTTGGAGTCCACAGTGGCAGAGCACAGGCGTGGGGCAGGAAGAGCCGGGAGCTCACAGCCTGAGACACAAGCAGGAGGCAGAGAGCTGAGTGCGAATGGCACAAGGCTTCTGAAATCTCAAGCCTGACGCCTGGGACACACCTCCTCCAAGAAGGCCTTACCTCCTATCTTTCCCAAACATCCTACTAACTGGGGACCAAATATTAGAACATACGAGTCCATGGGGCCATCGCATTCCAACCACTACAAGTCAGAGCTGCATTTTAAGAGCAAGAGAAAGGAGAATGCTACCCCTGAGCTCACAAGCTTGAGCACAAACAAAAAGTTTCACTATACTGAGATGAAAACTAACTTGGCTACCTGCTTAAGTGTGTGGGCATCTCTACCGTGCTTCAAAATAAGACTGTCAGTGTGATCTCAGATCTGGGCAGGACGGCACCTGCCCGGGATCCCACCACTTAGGGAGCCAAGGTGAGATTAATGTAAACCGACGACTTGCCTGGGCTATGTAGTGAGTTCCAGGCCAACCTGGGCTACAGAGCAATCTCTAAAGCATGTTTTATCTACACCAGGGCTTGGAGAATTAAACTCACAGAGTGAATTGGGGCTGCAGGTCAGTGGAAGGACACTTGCTTAGCATGTGCAAGGCCCTGGATTCAATTCCCAGCGTTGCTGGACAAGATTACTCACAGCAGCAAAGTCAAACAGGAAGACCAAGCCTGGGGCCTGGGAGGCAGCTCAGCAGGCAGAGGCACTTGCCAGTCGGTCTTCGGACCTGAAATCGAGCTCTAGAACCCACATAAAAGTGGGAGGAGAGAACTGATTCCAAATGTCCTCTGATCTCCTCACGTATGTCACAGCATGTGTCCTCCATCACACATGTGTGCATGTGAACGCAAGTATGCACACACACAGATAGTGAGATAAAATTACAAAGCTGCAAATCTCCTAAATACAGGGAGAGCCAGAGTCAGAGGCTGTTTCACATTGTCCAGGTTTCAGAGCCATTGCATAAGCTAGTGCAAATAATAGTTTCTGTATGACATTACACACCACCAAACCCAACCCTAAATGACAGAAGCAAAAGGAAAAAGCCAAACCCACCTCATGCCCAGAAAGCAACACTCAGCAGAAAACCCCCCACCATCCTCCTGGGGTTGCCTGGGGCTGACTTCTGACAGATGGAGGGACTCCTAGCTGGAGGGCAAAGAGTGTCAACGCTTCCAGTTGGTGTATTGACAACTACTGGTAAGAAAATGGGGGGTTCTGCAGTGAGAGCAGCCAACTTCATTCCACTGTCTGCAACCTCTCCATTTTCCCCAAACCCTCACGCTTCTGAACAAGACAAAAGATACAGAGAAGTGGGCCCTATGCAGCCAGGGCGTGGTGTGGTGGGTAGCCATTCCAACTTTGATCTGGAAGTTCCAACCCCCATTGAGGCTTCGGTAACTGTCACGCCTACAAGGCGGAGCCGAGAGAGGACCCTGAAGACCCGAGATGGGGATGCATCATCTCTCTTGGTTCCTGGACCCTGGATGCTGGTCCACTGGAGGTAGATGGAGCAGAGTTCTCCAGAGAACACCACCAGACTGCACCACACCTTTCTCAGACCCTGTTACCTATATCTTCACTTGTAAGTTACCCCACAAAATAAACCTCCCTTTTAACTACGTTGAGTGGCCTTAATAATTTCACCAATATCTGGCGCCCAATGTGGGGCATGAACCCGACATTGATTAACATTGAGTAACAGTCTCATGCTCTACCGATTGAGCTGATGGGATTGAAGACTAGCAGTTATAGTTATAACTTAGTATATATATAATATCTTAGATAGAACACATTAAGTATTAGACTCAGGTTCTTTAGGATAGGACATCTTTTGGAATGATCTTTGTAACATGCCACTTACCTACGCTCTAGACTTCTCTGGATTTTAGTATGTGTTTCTTGCTTGATATTGTTCACATTGGTTGTAGTTCCATCTTATCTAGGTCATTATCCCTCACTACTCCTGGACAATATTTGATAACCATTCCTTTGTATATAGTATTGTAATAGGTTAGAACCTTTTTATTTAGACAAAAGGGGGAGATGTAGTGGGTAGCCATTCCAGCTTTGATCTGGAAGTTCCAACCCCCACTGAGGCTTTAGTAACAGTCACGCCTACAAGGCAGGGCTGGGAGAGGACCCTGAAGACCAGAGATCCAGATGCGCTGTCTCTCTTGGTTCCTGGATCCTGGACGCTAGCAGTAGACTGAGCAGAGTTCTCCAGAGAACACCACCGGACTGCGCTGCGTCTTTCCCAGACCCTGTTACCTATCCCTTCACTTGTAAGTTACCCCACAAAATAAACCTCCCTTTTAACTATGTGGAGTGGCCTTAATAATTTCACCAAAAGCATGGTCTGGGTCTGGAGAGAGAGCCTGAGATCATGTGTGGGAAATCTCAGGAATTATCAGAAGCCCTGGTGGGTCTGTTTCCCTTTTCTGTGGCCTGACGGTGACAGTTCTGTTTCTACGCTCAGGCTGACTCTGAGGGTGGGACTGGATCACATGAGAAGAGTGCTTGGCACGTACATAAGGTAACTGAGCAGATGAACATGTGGGAAGAGCAACGTTCATCTCAAAGCTGACGATTTCATTGCACAAACCAACCAATAGGTAAGATCATTACTGACTCAGAGGAGAAAAGGGTTATATTTTGTGTCCCTTACCTACGTGACTTCACAGTACCCTCGTACCTTAAGCTTAAGAATGCCACTCACTCTTATTACTGAAGTCTCTTGTCCCAGCTTTGCCCCCGTCCCCTGAACAGAAAGAAGGTAACTGACTAATATCCCGGTCCTCCTCAGGCCTGATGTAAAGAAAGGCACCAGGAGACGATGTTCCTGGGCCTGTGGCATCCTGGCCCATCCACAGCAGCCCCTGAGCAGAAATCAGAGGCATGTCATCAGAAGTTTACTTAAGAAGCTGGGGAAGGTGCCATACCTCTAATCGCTGGATCCGCCCCTTGAAAAACATGAAGAGAGAAGAGTTCGGGTAAGCAGCTTCCTTTTTGAGAAGAATTTCCTTGGCTTCATCCAGGCCTGCTTGGTTATCACTGCCATCCAAGGCAAAGAATGGACGAACCACAGTGTGGTACCACAGCAAAGCTAATCTGCAGGCAGACAGGGAGAGAGAGACCACGAGCCAGGGTTCATTGAGATGCCTTCTGTTTTCAAAATAAAAATCAGCATGTGCTCTTCCAAAACTGACTTTCCTCAATAAAATCTTGCTATGCATGCAATATTCCAAAAAGTACAATCAAAGTGCTTCCCCGTCTCTGTTTCTGTCAGTGTCTGGAAAACTGCTCCTTTAGCATCAGATGTCAGTGCATAGTCCCTGTGCATGTGACAAGAGGGAAAGACACAGAAGCATGTGGCTGTCCTGAAGCTTCCAGCTGTGTCGTTACTAATAGAAACATCTGGATTCTATACCCCACTCATCCTGTGCACACACTGGAGACAGTCACCATCAATTTCTTGTCTCTTGTAATAAAAGCCTTTACATTTTGTAGAAGTAAAAAATGTGTGTTCATAAGTCAGGGTGCAGGCCAGCTGTGGTGGCTCACTCCTTTAATCCCAGCACTTGAGAGGCAGAGACAGGCAGAATTCTGTGTGTTCCACACCAGCCTGTTTTATATAAGAGGGCTACATAGTGAAATCCTACACCTATCTTAAAAATATATACACACACATGTATATGGTGTAAGCCACAGACTCTAGACTTAAATGTAAAATCCACAGTTGCAAATTATATATAAGCATTAAAATAACTGAGAGAAACAGATAAAAGGCCCCTTTCCCAGCCTAAGAAGATGTTAAACAATATAAAAACATAACTTATTTAAAATTCTCCAAGTTCGAGTTAGTTAAATTAAACTAGGCACATAGAGAGTAAAATCACTGAGATCTGCTTTGATGAACATATATAAGCACTTAACCAGCACATCAAATGTTTTCATATGAACCTTACATCTAGTGCACCGGTAAATCTAAGCCCTTATGGAAAACATACTAATTGCCAAATTAATTCCAATCCTTTTTTCAGAGATAAACACAAAACAATATTAAGCCATAAGCAAGAAATGTCCACAAGTTACAAGCCCGTTAACACTATTTAGTAAAGAGCCACTGTTTGTTCAATTTAGTGACCGTAACAGGGTAAAGCTTTTTTCCATGATTTTCACATCACTTTTAACCTTTCAAGGCTAACATGTGTAAAACTGCATCTCACTGAGGTCTTGTATGACATCATAGAGTAAAGAGAAATTTCTGACAACATGGTGTCACATCAGAGAAACAGACCCAGGATCTGTCAGGCAGCTCAGACTGAGGAGAGTGGTTGTTTTTTCCAGACTGAAAATTTAAAGATTTGTTTCTTTTTATGTGTATGGGTGTGTTTTATCTGCGTGCACAGTAAGAGCACTATATGTGTGTAGTGCCCACAGAGGCCAGGAGAGGACATCAGACCCCCTGGTCCTGAAGCCACAGAGGGTTGTAAGCTGACATGTGTGTGCTGGGAACCAAACCCAAATCCTCTGTAAGAGCAACAAGTGCTCTTAACTGCTGGGCCATCATCTCTCCAGCCCCAGAATGAAATTTTAAAACCATATCCTTTTTAAGCATTTTAATCATTTTAATTTTAATATGGCTCAATTTAATGGGTTATTGGAGGATATCTAAACTATATATGCTACACCAACTAACTAGAGTCATCAAGGAAGGTTACCCAACATTGTGTTCTTTGCAAGGACAAAAATTTCAGAGTCACACAAAATTTGATCTTATAAATTCAAATAAACCAGAAGTGTGCATCTGAAAGACTGTAGTAAAGGTACAAAACTCCTTATAGAGTCATTGGTGGCTGGACGATGGGTCAGCTCATAACTTGGGCTGGCCTGTTGTGGAATATTAGTTTAGGTGTGTTAGATTTGTTTATGCTGTGGAATATTTGTTTAATGATGCAAAGATGTGTTGCATTCTTTCATGTTGCATTTGTTTAACTCTGTGAAGCTGTGTTACTGTGCCTGTCTAAAACACCTGATGATTTAATACAGAGCTGAATGGCCAATAGCAAGGTAGGAGAAAGGACGGGTGGGGCTGGCAGGCAGAGGGAATAAATAGGAGAAGAAGATGTGGAAGAGTGAGAAAAGGAGGAGAGGAGGATGCCAGGGGCCACCCACCCAGCCACCCAGCCAGCCAGTTACATAACCAGCCACGGAGCCTGAAGGAAAGATAGAAATATAGAATAGAGATAGGGAAAGGCCCAGAGGCAAAAGGTAGATGGGACAATTAAAGTTAAGAAAAGCTGGCTAGAAACAAGCCAAGCTAAGGCCGGACATTCTTGAGTAGGAATGAGACTCTGTGTATGTATTTGGGAGCTGGGTGGCGGGCCCCCAAAGAGTCAAAAACAACCAACTACACTGGCGGGGAACAGCTCAACTGGGAGAGTGCTGACCTCCCAAAAATGGGGACCTAAGCTCCACCCCAGACCCACATGAAAAGATGGACCTGGGAGCACATGCTTGTAATTTCAGTGCTGGGGAGGTGCAGGCAAGTGGATCGCTGGGCTACTCAGCCTAGACGACTGGTCAGCTCTGAGCCAATGAAAGGCTGTCTCAAAGGAGCTGTCTCCAAGGGAGACACCATGTTGCTCTTTCGTCTCCACACACTGTGCATGTGTGCAACACACGCACACACATGAAAATAAGGAAATAACAAATAGAGGATTCAGGGGACTTAACAAGCCGTGTCCCAGCTCTCCGACTAACAGGATCATGTCACCACAGCACAGAACACACTCCTTGACGTTTCATGACAGGCACAGCATCCTTATCCACCAGCCAGCATTTTTCCTGAAGTTTCAATCCTCACTGCCGTTTGCTTACTTTCAATACTATATTATCTACCAAAGCATTGCAATATAGCTACTCACGTAGCTAAAGGGGCCTTCATGTCCTTACTTTCGCTTGCATACGTCAGTGAAGAAAGGCCCTGTAGGCGGTCTCCAGGAAACCCCAGCAGGTTGATGATTTTGAGCAGGTTTGGGGGCACCATGGATATGCAAAGGTGAAAAAGGCCATATCCAAAGCTAACAGCACCTTTCAGTCTGTTTAGGGACTCCTCAGTCACCCCTTCAGCCACCATGTGATTATCATTTGCTGCATCAGAAGATAGGGGCTCTTCCGTTAGCTTCTTCTGATACAGTTCCTGAAGGGCGTTGATGTCCACATAGCACTTATTGTAAATCTTCCAGGCTTTCCTAAGGATCCACCCACCTTTTATGTAGGCTGTGAAGAGAAGGGTAGAGAGGGATTTAAAACCCAGCAATAGTGTTTGCATTCGTATAATGTTACAGGGCAGTTAGAACCTGGGAAGAGAAAAGAGAAGCAAACAGCTGAAAACACATTTATTAGCTGTCACAGTGCTGCACCTGCCTCTCCGGGCTTCCCCACTTCCTGTTTACAGTCAGTGTTCTCAGCACAGGCTACAACCACAGGGAAGAGTGTGGGCTGGGTCTGTGAGTGCTGCTACCCAACTCTTCCCCCCCCCCCCCCGTAGAGGGAGGGGGGGGAGGGGGGGGAGGGGGGAGGGGAGGGGGGGGAAGGGGAGGGGAGGGAGGGGAGGAGAGGGAAAGGGAGGGAGGGGAGGGAAAGGGAGGAAGAAGTGAAGGGAAGGAAGGATGGAAGAAAAGGGGAACAGGCTGAAGGAAGGGAGAAGGAGGAGGAGGGAAGCGGGCAGGAGAGAAGTCCATCTAAAGCCCACTCCCCCCCCCCCCCGAGTCTCTGCGGACCCCCCACTGCCTCCAGAGCCACTGTGTTGTTTCCTGGCAGACCTTCCTCGCACCCTTGTCTGTCTCTCCCCTGTATTTTCATTCCTCAAAGCAGAGTTCTCAGTCTAATCCATGGCTAAATTTGTGCCCACCCACTGAGCAAGGTGTCCTGCCAGGAAGTATTAACAAGCAAACAGAGTGGTTAATTCACACTTACTAGATCAAAATGCCAAAGCAGTGTCCAAAACAGTCACTCACGTTAAAGACAGACGTGTGAAGAACCCCCAGGACGCCTCCATCTGATGCTTGCTGTGTACTAAGGGTGGTTTTCACTTGCTCTATGGCAAAGGCTGGCGTCCACACACTGTCCCAGACTGGGGACATGGACAGTGAAGAGGGTGACAAAGACCAGGCTGGTCCTTAGCAGAACCCTCGAGAAGATCCCACAAACAAGACTTCCAAGGTGGAAGGTGAGACAGTCACTCTCCATGGTCCTTTGGTCCCTTCTCCACAGGCCCTCAGCTTCCTGCTGTCCATGTTGCCTCTGAGCACATTCTACCTTCAGATGGAGGTAGGTTTATCTGTGGTTGTCTGAGAACATCTTCATGTTTGGAGGAGAGGCTTCCTGGCGGGAATTTTCAGAACCAAGTTCTCTTGAGACAACAGACAAGCTTACTGGCCCGACCTGCCCCAGTATCGACAGGACGACAGGACACTACTGCTCTGACTTCTGTGAACAAATGGAGCCCATGACCTGACACAGGCTGGCAGGGCCTGACAACAGCGGAAATGCACTTCAGAAAACACGTGATTTCAGAAATATATGGTGTGAAATAAAATAGGATTCATAAACTACAGCACTGGAACTGAAAGGGAGCTAGGATATGGTACATTGCTACAAGCTGTAAAAATATATAAAGTAGGATTTCAGCTGATTATGACAAAGCTAATACCTGGAAGAAGCCAAGGGCCTTCCAGAGGTCAAGCTGAGGCTCAAGGAGCCTTGGTGATATTTGGCTTTTGATTATCAGCCGTTTCCTGCTATGAGTGTCTTGTGTGCTATTGTAGCTTTTCCATCGTTTATTGGGCACCACTTCCCCTCTGTTAAAGGAACATTCAGATATACACATATATATAGCTGATAGCTACACACAGCCAGAACCCCAGTTCAAGCCTTCCTGT